CATGCAACAACCTTAAGAAGCATGCAATTGCTTCGAGAAGTGTGAAACTTTCTCAAGAAATGTGCCATTGTGCTATAAGTGTGCAAATGAATCAATGTCAATGCGGTAAAAAATGCATAAATGTCTCATATGAATGCACAAAAAGTGTGAAAGCGTATAGTGTAAATGCATGAAGGAACACACAAGTGCATCATTAAGTACATTGAAAGGTATGCAAGTACATCACATATTTGCATCGAAAAGCATGTAAGTGCACAATACAAGTATCTCAAAGATCATGCAAATATGATGAAAATAGCATTGGTACATTGAAAAACATGCAAGTTAATGAGGCAAATACATCAAGGAGCATGCATGTGCACCATGATATACATTAAAAAGTAAGAAAGTTTTTTGTAACGTGTTATTCCACATTATAAATGCATAGAAAGTGTGTTTGACATATCAAACCTCAAAAAATTGTTAGTTTTGTATGAAATTTGATTGTGTCGATAAGTTGGGTTTAATGTTCACTCATACCTCAATTCCATCAGTCGAGCTGGACGAGGAGCTCGTTGGATGGGTTGTAGGGGGTAGTGCGCCTCAAAAATTTTTTTTTTTCTTGTTCATATAGGGCGCGACACTATAAATTCAACGCCAAGGTGCTATAGGTAGAACTCTTAGACAAATAACAATACCACGACACTATAGTTCCAGCGTTGCAACGCTATAATTCATAGCACCTCAGTGCTGCAAAATAGAGAAGTTAGCGCCGAGGTGCTGGAAGAACAGTGCAATAGTGCTAGAAGTCGAGCTGAGCAGTTTTTCTTATTTCACTTAAAGGGTTGTGTCTTTTGGTGTAATATAAGTGTGTTTCTTTGTTTGTTTTGAGTGTAGAATGGTGTGAAAAGTGAAGAGAGACAATGAGAGAGTGTGAGAAGAGTGATATGTACAATTTTTTTTAATTTTTATAGTGAATTTTTTTGGAGTTGCGGCTTCATTGTTTTTTCCCGATTTCAAATTTTTTCATGGTAAATCATGGTGTTCTTTTTTAGTTGTTTTCTTTTTTTTTTTGTTTGTTTCGTTGTATGATTTTATTCCAACAAAAAAATTTTACTTGCATATTCTCTACTAAATGTACTAATATTCAAATTTGAATATTAGATTACTGTGCGGGCTAAAAATAAATTGAACAAATTTTGTTGCTCTGAAAAAGCTTACAATTACTTTACAAAACTACATTCATTTGAAAATTCACACTATTTTTCAAACTCGAGCACACTTGCATGTGCTTTTACTAAATACGTTATAGTTTTAAATTTGAATTATGAGAATGTTGCGTGGGTTAAAAAAAGAATTTAAATTGTATTTATCTTAAAAACATTCAAGTATGTCATATGCCATCGTACAAGTATGCTAAAAAACATTCGAGTATATTGTGTAAATGTGCCAAGAAGCATACATGTATATTTTGTAAATGCATCAAAAGTACCTAAAAAGGTGTGAGAGTATACTTTGCAAATACATTTAAGCATGCGAGTGCGCATTTAGATGCATTGAAAAATGTATAAGCACATTGAAAGTGTGCAAGTATGCTATGCAAGTGCACTGCATATACACATCAAAGAACATGTAAGCATAACATGTGAATGTACCAAACTATAAAAATGTATCAATAAACGCATGACCCATCAATTTGTTGAAGTCAAAATACTCGCATATGCTCTAATTAAATTGCCAAACTTCTAAAATTGAGGTACGAAAATGCTACATGGGCTAAAATAAACGATGAATTTAAATTGTATTCATCTCGAAAAACATACATCAACATTGAAAGATGTGTAAATCCATTGTATAAATGCATTAGAAGTAATACACACCATCTAAAATTATGTTCACATCCTTAAAAATTAAGTTTGTCTACATGTACTTTAACAAGCGTACTAAGCAATTGAACTTGTTAGAGAATGCTATGTAAATGAAAAATAAAATGAAATCGAATCAAACCCGATCCTCTACAAGCAAGTTGGTAGAGTAGACCAGCTCAAAATTAACGAAATAAATATATTAAAAAATGTCATTGATTGATGCGTTGATAGAAAATATCAACCAATTGAACTACATCTTCTAAAATTCCCCAAAGTCCTAATGTAGATCATTTTGGGCCACATTTAAACATAAATATGAAAAATAAAATAAAATTCAAAATATTTTAAGCAAAATCTATCACTTGCCCACAAACTTAAAGCCAAAATTTATCCTTTCTCTACAACCATTGTTTGAAGGTGATCAACTCACGGATAATCTCAGCTCATAAAGATGTAATGTCTTATTATGCGTTTCACCATTATTTACTCTCTAACGGTCTCTCGCTAGTAAGAATGTGAAACATGTCATCTAACTAGTAGTCTTACAACCAAATGTCATCATAGGTAAACAAATTTGACCAAGGCCCTTTGATCGTGTGATTTAGTTGCAAAATCACATCATTAAACTATAGTTACTGCCAAATCCAAAGTTCTTTAATGACTTAAAAAATCATAAGTAGTGAATCATGTGGTGCACTTGATAGGATATAAAATTTTTTGTTAGCTAAGGTCGACTTAAATTTATCCTCTTAGATAAAATTTCACCTTGCATCTACTAGGTTCCCTTAGACAAACCAATCTATGGTTTTCGATAAAGATCCTTCGGTCAAATAGGGTTAACCTCCTCTACTGACTAAGTAGATCAGAGTCTATGACAATCTGGAATTGCAGAACCATGAGATCTTGATTAGGTTTGATATCATTCTTCCATAATCCGCTTTAAGTTTAATGTAGTAAATTTTGAACTATATACCAAATTTGTGACTATGATACTCTACACATTTAGCTTATGACAACTAGCTTTAATAGTAACTTCTCTCTCTCTCTCTCTCTCTCTCTCTCTCTCTCTCTTCAGCTTATGGGGTAATTAGTCATAGAAGCTTGCATCTATGGATATATTGAAGCCATATCATTAAATTCTTGTAAAATGATGGCAACATTTTTAGGTAATGTCTTATCTAAAACCTAACTTGCCTTCTGAAAATTTAACTCGAAACTCCAAAACTCTCTCAATAGAGCTGGGACATGAATTTTCAAAGCCCACATCCAACGTTGGTTGAAAGCTCGAACAATTTTTAGTTCATGATGCATGCTTTATAAGGGTGGCATGGTATGTTCTTTGGTCATTCAATTTTCTTTTAAAGTAGTTTTAATAGGCCCCTAGCTATGAAAATTACTAACTCTCTCTATTGTGGGAAGTAAAACATACAATAAACACAAACAAAAAAGATAAAAAATGCAACAGAAATGAATAACACAGTAGGATTTAACTTGGAAAAATTTAAAATCGAAAAAACAACAGAGCAACACACCACTAAGAAATTCACTATAAAAATTTGAGAAAAATAGTACATAACTCTCTCTTCTCTCTCTCTCTCTGCTTCTTTTCACTCTTTCACTGTTCTCACACTAGAAAATAAAAAGAGAAACTAATAAAACCACAAAGGGACACAACCCTTAATGAAAAAAAAATGAGAAAGCAAACCATTAGCCCGTCTCGCAGTGTCAATTTGGAGCACCGCGGCGCTCAACTCTGTCTTCAGTCTGATGGAAACACTGTAACGCCGAGGCATGGAGTGCCACAGCGCGAGGTTTGGAGCGCCGCAGTGCTCTGCTCTATGTTTTTCTCCAAGCAAGTTGTGCGTCGACGGGGCACTCGGGTACACAGCGTCATAGATCTATACAGTTATACGAAAAAAAAATTTAGGTGCAATGCATCCGAACCCAAGCAGGGGGAGCACCTCCTACAACCCTCCAACGAGCTCAACAGATTGAATTGAGGTAGGGCTGCAAACGAACCGAGCCGAGCCGAGTATGTGAGTGTTCATGTTTGTGTTCATTTAATATCAGCTTGTTCATGTTTGGTTCATGTTTGTTCGAGCTTTAGCATTTGTGTTCATGTTTGGTTCATTTAAATTAAGGAGTGTTTATGTTCGGTTCATGTTCAGTTCATGTTCGTTCGTTTAGTGTTTATCGAGCTTGTTCGCGAACATATTTAACTAATTTTTTTAACTATCAAACAAACACGTTCATGAACATATCTATGAACAAACACATTTATAATAAAAGCAATTGTCTATGTAACAAAGGTAATGATTATTTATATTTATTAATTCTATAGTCAAATATTAATTATTTTCATCAAGTTTATTCACGAGTTCAAAATCGAACACGAATCGAGCTTTTATTGAGCTTCTTATAGAGCTTAATGTCGAGCTTGTTCACGAACTTCAAATGATATTGTTCACGAACATAAATGAGCCAAACGCATTAGTGTTCAAGTTTGTTTATTTAAGAATCGAGTATTTAAAATATTGTTCAAGTTTGTTTGTTTAGTTAATTAAACGATCGCAGACGAGCTTTAATCGAACCGAACAACGAGTAGCTCGTCGAACGTTTGGTTCCCTTGCAGCTCTAAATTGAGGTCTGAGACAATAGTACAACCCGATTGATCAACACAATCAGATTCCACATAAAACTAATACTCTCCTTGTTGAAACTCAGCTTGGACTTAAATGTTGGATTACCTTTCAACGGGAAACCTTCTTTGTGGGATAGTCTCTTATCTATTTGACTTTGTGCGGGAAAGGACTTATCTAGTTGATGTCATTCCTAAAGTGAAACTTAACCTGCAGATTGCAATTTCCAGCAAGCAGCACTCGTATTATTGATTTAAATAGTTTTAAGGTTTTGCATCGACCCATAATGTATGTTTGATATAAAACCTATTTGTCAGCTTAACTTTAATTTGCTAATGGAAGTTTCAGGCTGGTTGTGGGGTTTAAAATGGAAAATGATTAAATTCGTATAGCTTTTCACAAATATAATATTCTTACTGGAAGTGCAGCAAATGACTTAGTGTAATAACTTTTTTTTTTTTGTTCGTTTGCTAAACATGCTTTGAATGATATTAGATCGTAATGCTTGTATCAGGTTACCTGTTTTGCTGAAGCAGGCGGCCAGCATGTTAGCGGGATGGCAAGAGCAGTCAAATTGCTTGGTTTACGTGCATGCTTGACACAGTCAACAATGGACTCAGGGCAAGGTCTTCCAGCAAACTGGAGTGCGCTGTCTACTGATGACTGTATTCAGGTCAAACATAAAATTCTGAATTCTTGTAATGCTTTTACTTGTAAGTTATCTTGGTCAGATACCAATGATCATTTACCCTTTCTCTGTTCCAATGAAATTATGTGTTGTCTGATTGATGCTTACGCCTAATTCAGGGGCGGATCTATGGTGGGGGGACCCAGGAGCACGGGCCCTCATTGGCCCAACCGGGAGGACAGTGTTGTGTTGCAGAAAAAGATTAAGTAAAATTATGTTGCAATAGGTTAATTAATTAATAAAAAGTTTTAATCAATCTTAATAAGTAAATTAATTAATTTAATAAAATTAACTTTATAATTTTATATTATTTATGATTTTCTTTAACTAAATGTGAACCATTGTGTAAAATTAATTTAATAAACAATTAATTTAGAATTAGATAGAATAATATCTTATACTAATTTAAATTTAAATATAGTTCAAAATTAAGACTTAATTTAATTAATTCAATAAACTAATCTTAAGTATAAAAATAATTTATTTGAACTAAATTAATTAACAATTTTATGGGAAAAATATTAATTTCTTAATGAATAATAAGATAGAGAGTGATATATCTATGCATTTTTAACGAGAACAAATATAATTTTGGATGTATTTTTTTATAATTTTTTATTAAAAATATATCTCATGATTTGTGCTTAGACTAAAGAAAAATGGTATTTTGAGAATTATTTTATGGCCAATATTAATTTTTGCCCCTATTCAAATTTTTTTTTTTGACTCTGCCTATGCGTACTATTTTGGATTTCCTTTTTGTTTTTCTTTAACCACTGAAAATTTCGAACCCATTTGATTTACCCGAGCTATCTTTAAGTACTTTACATGAATGATTTATAGCCTTTGGCATAGACGATCGTATGAAACTACGTATGGTGTTGATATCACTAGGTAATGAAATGAGCTATCGTATACTGAAGTTAGTAAAATTTAAATTTATAAGTAAAAATACCTACCATATTAACTTTATAGCATTCTGACCAGACTAGACCTTAAATATGACTTTTTCTCAAATTTGGAAAATAAGTGGCAAATTTATTAATATTCTTTATTTTTTTATTTTGTTTGAATTCGTGCAAAACTAGAGATTGACATGCTAGTGGCAAGTGCAACAAAACTAGAACTAAAAAAGCTAGTGATGCAAGACATATATGAAACTATGATTTAGATAAGGATTTTGCACGCTTGATGATTAAGAGCAAGTTAATTAAAACGTTATGGTGAGTTAAACAATAAAGTAAAACACAAAGTGCGGTAAACACGAGCTTAGGCCAAGTTACTTGCGAAAAGCAAAACCACATAACAATCAATTACTCTTGACTTTGCATACGAGATATGTTTCAACAAGAAATCCCTAATCTAACAATAAGAGTAGTGCTATGAAATATCTATCATACAATTCCTACCAAATAGGCAAATACTAGGCTTTAGCGGAGCGTTGCAAGATTTTGCATGAATCAATAAAAAACATAAGGATCAACGAGGAAGGTAAGAGAAGAGGTAAGAGTTCACCCTTTGTTAAGATTCAACCTTCTCGTAAGCTTGGACAGCAGTGGGTGGCTTCTTGGACGGCTCGGACAGCAACAAATCCAAGCTTGAACCTTCGTACAGCAAGTAGCCAACATGAGATAGCGATTCCTGACAGTTCCAGGCAGCAACGATGGCTCCCAAAGGGGCTGGACAGCAATGAACTCCTGGAATCACTGGAAAGCAAACAGGAGTTCTTGGACCACAGCTCTCTAGGGTTTGGAAGGGTGGACAACCACTATTAACATCCATAATTTCTGGACAGCAAGGAAACTTGGTGTAGGGGAGGGTAGGGTTCGATGTGGATGGCGGTTAGAGAGAGGGAAGAAGGGGATTGGCCAAGCTAGTGGAAAGGGGAGAGGAAGGACAGGGTTCGGCCAATGCTAGGAGAGGGAGTCCCTTTCCAAATCTGAAATTTACTTCTTAGATTTCTATTTGGAGGGAAATGGATTTAAAGATTTGAAATTTACTTCTTAGATTTCTATTTGAGATCTACGTGTATTTTCTATCAATCTTTGGAGAACAACGAGAATTTTTCACAAAAGTCCGCACAAAACCATGAAAACAGTAGATAATTTGTATTATTTGATGAAAGGAAAACAAAAAATGGCAAGATACAATTGATCCTCAATTCGAGAGGAGGATCGATCTCTCCCAAATCTCTAGACGCTGCTAGAGCCCAAAGAAAAACCTAATTCTAAGAGATCTCAAAATTTTCCCAAATTCAGGATGCCCTAACCCTAGGAAAACAAAGTGTTTAATGCATACAAATCAAAAGGAAATCCCTAATCAGCCCCTGCATTCAAATATCCCTCTTAATTCCCCCAAAATTCTTTTCTATTTGGCTCCTGAAAGCATGCAGATCGAGCGGCTGTAGCAGGAGGCGGAGATGCCCCCGCCTCATTCACGCTTGGGCCGGTCCCGCGTGGACCGGTTGGACCGGTCCAATGGATCGGTCTAACAAGATGTCACTAGGGGTACCTAGACCAGTCACTGTGCACATCGGTTGCAAGCATGGCATAGGCGGACAATGACCGAGCAAGCAGTGCTCTTGGGTAGTATGAATAGATACATCTCAAGTGGTTAACATATTATATTGAGTTTGTCTCATTGATCTTTTGGTATGAATCGTGCCGTTATTATAGTATGCATTCATAGAGTAAAGTTTTAATGATACTAGTTTTGATACTTGCCCTTGAACATGTTTTAGTTTTTTATTCTATATTTCAGCTGATTTATCAGAATTCTTTAAGGATTAGTTTTAAGTTAGTTAATGCAAATCTGTTCTAGCTGAAGCATGTCCAATATGGATCTCTGATTTTCCGTTGGCAATTGCTTCATCTTTTCTCAGCACAATAAAATAAAATGCATGATTTTTTTTTGGCAAATAAGTTGGTTTCTTAGGCTTTGTTTGGGATGGCTTTCTTTCTACTTCTTAAAGCAACTTTTTAGTACAAATTTTTTAATTTTTATACTAAGAAGTTGTTTTAAGAAGCAATAAGAAAGCCGTCCCAAACGAAACCTTAGTCATTCTTTGATAAGATTAGAAGGATAGTTTGCTTCCTTTTTAAGGCTTTTTTATTTCTTTTATTTCTTAAGTGGCTTTCAATTTTTATTTTTCATTGAATTTTTAGTTTATTATATGTAATCTAGGATGAAATACATTTCCTTAACGATGTTCAATATTGAGAATTATTTATTCACTGAATTGCAGTCACAGATTGAACTTTACAAGAAACATCATAATACTGCAGATGGGCGCATCAAAGTATGGTTTGGACTAAGACAAATTATGAATGCGACTGATAGGTTACTTACTGAAACAAAGAAGGTGGCACAAGAACTAAAAACTGGCATCCATATGGTATTTATCTATGTACTAATGATTAAGCATGCTCTTTTTAACTGCTTTATTTCTAGATATTTTGTTGCTGTCCTCAGGCAAATACCTAATGTTATTCCTCTTTTATTTTTTAATATTCTATCTGTTCAAATAATTATATCATGGTCAATTAACGCTGAGAAATTCCTCAAGGTTTATGTTAAATTCTCTATTTTTTTATATATCTAAAGAGTCTAGATTGTTTTAATAGAAGCTCATTAAGTTTCCAAGCTTATGGTTATTTATCTTTAAGCTCAATGCAGCATAGATTTACCCACTATGTCTAAGGATACTACTTGATCTCCAACCGCTTCTGTTTGTTCGTATCCGCTGAAGTTGCTCTTTAACATTCTAATTTAGATTTGGTATCATTTGTTTTTATCATCAAGGATCCATCAATTTAACATTATTAGTTAAACATGCATTGACCAATTGATATCAATTTTATGCTATACTGTTATAAACCTAATTGTGAGTTATATGCATACTTTGTTGATGACATCATGTCATCACCTATGCACTGACACACTTTCTCTATGCCTCGTCACAAGCCATTGAGATAATAAACTATAGTTTGCTTTTTGGGCTCCTTGTTGCATTGCGTACTGAATTGATCATTCTCCATGGTATGGTCTTCTACCGAGAAATTTTATTTGGCAGTCCTACTTATGAAGTTGTTGAAGTTGGCGATGCAATTTGTCAGGCTTGAAATGTCAGACAAGTCAAGAGTGCTAGGCGGCATCTTGAAGCACGCAAATTGATAGAAATGTACCAATATGGAGGTAGGACTTAAAATACAGATGAATACAAGTGTATGGTGGTAATAATATGAATGAATGAGTCATTTGCTCTTTTTTATTTTTTATTTTCTGAGATCAAAATATGGGCGGATGAAAGATGGATATGGTAATATTAAACATTTGCCGGCAGGGTTACTGTACCTTGATGCTGAAACATACATAATGGTTAAACTAAATCAATAGGCTCTGTTAAATCTCAACCTTACGATCCCAAAGATATCCACGGCTGTGAACAGTAATCCGTGGGAAGACTACATGGATTGCATTAGTTCCTCCCATTGATTTAGGAATAATTATATTCATGTTATTATGAGAGTTATTTGTTTCCTTATTGATACACCTTGTATAGATCTATAAATAGGGAGTAGATTGCTTAATAGAATTCAAGCTTTTCCCTCTCGTTCCTCTCAATTTAACATGGTATCAGATTCCTATTAATATCAGGTGGGGTTGCGTACGATGTACTCGCTAGGTAGGATAGGATGGAATGAGATTTGTAAGCTTAAATCCTTGCTAAAAATCTATATAACCTATGGCAGGTGAATGTATTACCATGAAACCTACTTAAGAATACAAAAACCAATGACTGTTGTAACCTACCATGATGAGAACGGGAAAGGAGAAAAATCTAGTCAGGGAACCTTTTTTATTTGTGGAACTTTTATTAAAGTGCTCATGGCTGATCATATGGGTATATGAATTCGAGGCTATTTCATAGAATTGATGAGGAAAAAGTAATCATTATTGAAATTTCAATGGTTCAACCGATGTTTCTTGCATAACCTAATATTATTTATATAAATTAGCAACTAGCAAGTACCCCGTGTTGTGCAAGAGGGAAAAAAGGTTAATTTGATGTATAATGTCAAAATTTTATCTAATCTTAAAAAAATGAACAAGTTCATTGAATTTTTATATAAAACTGTATGAATAAGATCTAAGCAGAACACTGTATCGCAGTTGTCAAAGGCACATGATTTTGAATTTGGCACTAAAAAGCATGCATCTCTTAATGCTCTTAAGAAGAACACTAATCTGGCCTGATTTTCTCTAATTTTGATTGTTTTGTTTTCAATGAACTAAAACATATAGCAGGGGCCACTGGCTTTTTTCAGCCATTGCACTTTGATTTTTGGAACGCATTTGTGTGGAAAACTAGAAAGGTGAAGATATTCTTGAAGATGTGTGTACATTTCAGGTTGTTCTAAGCTTTTGAATTTGTAAATATTCAATTTGTTGATGGACACACTGATAGGAAACACTTGGAGTGTTTCTCACCAAAACCAAGTAGATCCAAGGGAAAACTGCTGTCCACAGCAGAAAAACAGCCAAAAACAGTAGAAAAATAGGGAAAAACTGTAGAAGTTATGGAGAAAAGACTTGTATTTTACTAGTAGATGCAACAAATAGCAAAGATACAAGGATCCTCTATTCGAGAGGAGGATCGCACTCTCTCAATCTCTAGATTTCGATCTGGAGCTCTCACTATCCAAGAAGACAAAAGAAACTCTCACCAAGCATGACATAACCCTAATTCCCCTCTTTTCTCCCTACTTAATGCATACAATTTAAATCTAATACAAAAGGACCTAATTACCCTTGCTTCCCCTCCTTTTGGCTCCAAGAATCAATTCAAATTTCAAGTGAACCCCACCCCTTCTCCTCTGCTTGTTTCCGCCGGCTCCTCCTTGAGTAAACGAGATGAGCCGGCCCAAGAGGCTGGGCCGGCTGGACCGGTCCTCCTTGGACCGGTCTAACACACACATGAGTTTATGGTTGCTTGGGCTATACAAAAAGCTTTTTTTTTTACTCATGACCTCATACTTTAGTTGAAGTTCTTTTTAGAGTTTGAATTAGCTTAGATGTATTTTTGTCTATCCCATGGTATGGGCTGAGTTGATAAACTTGCTCTGCCCAGCAAGACCAAATTTTCACTTGGAAATGCTTTATTGCGACTTTATCTTCAAAAAGCTTGCATACCACTCTTTTTATTTCTGCGAGAAGTATGTAAAAGAAACGATCTAATAGCCACACAGATTCTCCATGGTTTCATAATAATGGTAACTTACTTGCAGAGCATCTTAGCAACGACTTTATTTCCTACCACATCAACACAAACAAAATAACATTGCACTGCCATTACTCTTTGAAAATGGAAATCTTATGAGGAAATTAATACTCTGATTGCTCTTTGATCTAAGATGTTTGTTGACCTATTTTCAAGTGATGGCTCTTCCTTTGAATGGCCTTTTTGGCAACCAGGGATCATCACCCGTCCTCTTTTGATTCGAACATATCTCCATTGTGATGTTCTGAGATCTTTTGTTTTTTGTCTGTTGAAAGCTGTTGATTGGATTTGTTGGCTTCGTTTTACTAACTTGCTTGCCATTGTGCATATTTTCTTGTGCTCTAGGACTTATTATTTCGTCCCCAACAATGATTATTTCTTCGACTGAGTTTTGTTGTGTTCTTTCTCTGGGCATAACTGCAATGATGGTTGTTGGTGGGGGTTCTCTTCTGTTTTGCATTGGGACATTATTTTCAGTATTACTTGGATGGGATCACATGTTAATACATTTATTGATTATTGAACTTGCTGCCTTTTTCGTTATCGAATTATTTTGGCATTCTGGAGGTGATCCATTTAGGATGGATGATGATGAATGATTTTGCAACTCCAACCTTTTCCCTTGGATGGTCGTCTTGACAATCGGGCTCTTCCTCTTGGATGGTCGATTCAGTAACCAGAGTGTAGCTCCTATAATGATATATTATGATTTATGGATTTTTCTTTTTGCTATTCTAAGTCATGTGTTTTAGAATCCAGTTTGCTTTGCTTTTTCAAGGCTCTTCTTTGGTCACAATTTAAAGTTGGTTAATCCATTTGTCTTTGAGTTGTAAAGTGATATCTTTTTTTTTGTAATTATACTTTATAGTTAATGAAATTGGGCTTTGCCCTTAATATTTCTCAGAAAAGCAAAAACATAGCAATGCCAAAAGAAACTCAAATTTGCAAGCTTTCTGTTTAGTCTTACTGACTAAGGTCATCTTTCATTAACTCATGTTTCAATCTTTCTTTCTTCCGTGCTTACAAATTCAACAAGCTTATAAAGATTTTCATTTCTTCTGAATTAATGCATGACATTTGCTTTTATTTTTATTCATATATATTTTTATTCAAACACAAGGTGGTTTGACCAAGTATTTCCCTATTTCGGTTGGGTTACATCAAGGATCAGCCTTATGCCCATATCTTTTTGCTTTAGTCATGGATGTTCTCACTAGACATTTGCAAGAGGATGTACCTTGGTGTATGCTTTTTGCTAATGATATTCTTCTTGTTGATAAGACTAGAGAGGGAGTTGAAAGTAAACTTGAATTATGGAGGTCAACATTAGAGACTAAAGGTTTTCGCTTGAGTAGATCTAAAATGGAATATATGGAGTGTAAATTTAGTAGTAATAGACCTAGTGAGGGGATTGTGACTTTGGGCAATCAAGTCATTAATAAGAGTACACGTTTTAGATATCTTGGATATATTGTTCAGAGTGATGGTGAAATAGATGGGGATATTATCAGCAGAATTCAAGTTGGATGGTTGAAGTGGAGGAATGCATTGAGCTTGTTGTGTGATAGAAAAGTACCCCTCAAACTTGAGTCAAACTTGAGGGAAAATTCTATAAGATGGTAACGAGGCCTGCAAGCTTTATGGTGTTGAATGTTGGCCATTAAAAGAGAAGCATAATACTAAGTTAAGTGTGGCAGAGATGAGGATGCTCAAGTGGATGAGTGGCTTTACCCTTAGAGATAGGATACGAAATGAGCATATACGTGAAAATGTCTGAGTAGCTCCAGTAGAAGATAAGATTAGAGAGAGTCGCCTTAGATGGTTTGGTCACATAAAACGGCGGCCATCCAATGACCCGGTTAGGAGAGTAGAGGTATTAGATTTGAATTATGTTAAGAGAGGTAGAGGCAGACCTAAAAAGACTTGGTTAGAAAATATTAGGAATGACCTTTCTTTATTAGATTTAAACGAGAATTTGACCTTTAATATAACACAATGGAGAAAAAGGATTCATGTAGCCGACCCCACGTAGTGGGATAAATACTTGATGTTGTTATGGTTGTATATATTTTTTAATAACGGAGATAGATGCTTCAATTACCAAAATGTTTTTA